GTAGCCGTAACTGGAAAGAGAGGAAGGAAACTATCTAAATTACATTTAATTTGAAAATTATAAATAACTTGAAAAAATCGAACTGCCTAAGGCGTGGGTTCAATTCCCGCCTTAGGCAGTTCGATTTTTTCAAGTTATTTATAATTTTCAAATTAGTTTGAGATGCGACTCTTAACGCTAAAAATTAAATAACTAATATAATGTTGTATGTTACCTACGGTAAATGTGACAAATTGATTGTACGAGCACGATCGTTACATCCTGCTGCACCGTCAGCATCGACCGCCGGGCGACCCATGAACCCTCAACGTGCACCGTCGGCACTCTACACCGACGGCACACTAGCATACACCTTTCATTGTGTACAGTAAATAACTTATGTATAAATAGCAATAGCATTACAACAATAAACAGATATCAACCGTCCGTCGTTGTGTCTCATTTCCCCCCGCTGCGGCCAAGACACCCTTAGCCGTCGCTATGATCAGTCCGGTGAGTCTGCCGGGCTGGCAGCGGGTCCCCGCCGCTTACCTGCCGTCCTAACGCTGCTGCCCTGGGTGACCTGGGCACAGCTTCCTTCCTATCAAACCCTTATTATGTCTAAGTATTTATTGTTAGGCAGGGCTAGGGCTCTAGGGACTTAGTGTCTTAGGGAATAGGGACTCTAGGCTCACTAGGGAGTTAGTTCCCTTCCTGACCGCATATCCCGGGCACGGGAGCGGTGCCTTACAACCACTGCCTCCCGCCCGTACATTGATAATTATTAATAATAACCAATTATTATGAATAATTACCGACAGTCGTGGTAAAAGTGATAAATTAATCACATTTATCAGTGATTATTTATTAATGTGACCTTAGTACTGAGAAATATCATAAAAGAGAACATCGGCTCGTGTACAGCGCTCGTGTACGGATCGTGTGCACATTTTCTTACAACTCTTTCAATTCTTATCATTGGAGGTTCGAAAATATTTTTCATACCATTAATTTGATACCATAATGATCATTCTTCATAAAATTTTTAAAAACTACATAATATTTAAAAACATGATCATTGAAATTCATAATATCACTAATCATACACTTACCCCCTTACTAATACAAAGTTACACAGTTGTTGAACAATGTTTTAAAATGACATTTAATTTTCCATACTAAACGTCACTTTAAAACACTGTTTAACGAGCGTGTAAGTTTTATTAGTAAGGGGTTTAGTTTTTACAATTTTTTTTTCATATATTTTCAAACTCATAATCATTGAACTAAATAACTATAATAATATAAATGTGACTTATTCTTATATTTGTTTTTATAAATTTCTTAATCATAAGTGTATCTTTTAAATAACTCAAAGGTGACTGACTGACTGACATAGTGATCTATCAACGCACAGCCCAAACCACTGGACGGATCGGGCTGAAATTTGGCATGCAGGTAGATGTTTAGGCATCCACTAAGAAAGAATTTTACATATAATTTGTAATGCCACCTGCTGGAAGGAAAGTACTCTTAATACTGTAGATAGAAAATTTTCTATGTTCGCTAATAAAATTGACTAATGTAAAAAGGTCTTACAAAATTTTAAGAAAATAACTATTAACATAAGGAAAATAAATACTTACACTGTGAACGCGGCTTTGCATGGTCCGGTGACAAGAGGCGAGGTGCAGTCTGGGGCTGGGGCTGTGTAATAAAATAAAAACTTTTTTTTTCATCGAACCTTTTGGTGGGAAAGTGAAACGTCATGCACCTAATGCATAGAGCTATAAAGGATAGAGAAGGTAAGCAAAATTCTTATTGTATTTAGGAAAGAATTAAAACTAAAGTTCGCTACAGGCGCTACAGCTGCCTCATTAGTTCTATTGTCTAACCAAACATTAATTGCAGCGCTAGATCCGCTTGTTCTCAACGAGTCACCACACCCAAACGAGTATGTAATTGGGAAAAATATTCCATTTAGTCACACTGTTACTCGTTCGAACATTTGTAACCTATCTTCCCAAACGGTCACACATTAAGTACCTACCTTTAGAGTAGGCGCACACCGTTGATTTTTCGTCGGCCGATAGTTTAGTCGGGCAGTTGATCAGTATGGGCATGTATTGTATGGGAGTGCGCACACAACGCCGATTCGATTTGGCCGATTCTTCATACAAATTAAAATCGGGCACAACTATCGGCCAACTAAAAATCAACGGTGTGCGCCTACTCTTAATGTCAGAATAAATTCGTTAAAAAACAGTGAACAAAATACTGACATTAAAAATCTAAATAATTTTTGTAAGGTTTACTGTCAGAAAATACAGGTTACAGTGTGACCGGCAGGGAATATAAGTACCTAAAACAAATAATGTCCTCAAGTGTGACACGTTGGGAATAAGCGGCGAAATCTAGTGCATAGTTCATTTATATCGATGACTTTATGCCCGTTTTCACCATAAATCCCTAATTTTTAAGTGTCACACAAAATTCCTGTAGATATGTGTTACCATAGGGATCACTTAAAAATTAGGGATTGATGGTGAAAATCTTTTCGGTAAAATAGATAGGTAGGTACTTACCGTCACTGCTTAAAACGCTCGTAATGGCCACCAACACGAAAATAAAGAAACTTAGTTTGAACATTTTGAATAAATTAATTTAATTGTGTTCTGATAAACCGCGAGGATGAAAAACATGTAGAACAATGAGTTGTTCGCAGTTTTATATTCAAGTTTGTTTGTAAAAGACTTGTTTTTCTGTTGCATACCTGATTAAGGGAAAGATGTAAGTTTACCCATTTAAGATCTTTTTATTGTGAACTAGCTGACCCGGCGAACTTTGTTCCGCCTTAATGGCAATAAATAACGGGATAAAAAGTATCCTATGTCCTTCTCCTGGCTCTAAACTACCTCCCTGACAATTTTCAGCTAAATCGGTTCAGCCGTTCTTGAGTTATAAGTGGAGTAACTTACACGACTTTCTTTTATATAATAGACTAGCTGACCCGGCGAACTTTGTTCCGCCTTAATGGCAATAAATAAGCAGACTTTTTTTTAATTTCGAACGGGTTAAAAAGTATCCTATGTCCTTCTCCTGGCTCTAAACTACCTCCCTGACAATTTTCAGCTAAATCGGTTCAGCCGTTCTTGAGTTATAAGTGGAGTAACTAACACGACTTTCTTTTATATATATAGATATAGATAATGACACAATAAAAATATAATAGACTACTTGACATGTCAGAATCTTAAAATAGAATCTTACTCGCCAGTGCACAGTGTGTTATGGGACTGTATAAACGGACATTCTTATTAATTTGATGAAACGTATAGAGCGCAGTTATACAAACATGATAGTAAAACTCCCTTTTGTAGTTTTCGCGGTATCAAAATTCAAAATTACCTATTTTTTTACTTCAAAATTATGCAAAAATATTCTCACTCGTTAACTAATAACTTTTAATTCAGAATTGTTATAATACTTCATAGAGCTCTTAAAACTACACGTAATAAGCGTATTAACCCTACAGTGGTCGCGCGGATTACACCCGTAATCCACTCGTGCAAATTGTCGAATATTTTGAAATCGATCAACGCGATCGTTTTGATACTTCGTGTACTTTAAGTTGCATAGTCGACGATCACACTTAATGACGTGTGAGCGCCAGGTCTCTTGTGGATGTGTCGCAGGAGCCCCGTAAATGCCGATGGCCTACCCGTGTAATCCGCGCGACCAATTACGTAAGTATTTTTTAAGTTACCTTTTTTACTTAATGTGTCTGTTTTTGCATTATTTGTGTAAATTAATGCTTTATAATAAATAATTAGGGTATAGGTATGTATTTACATTTGTGTTTACAATAAAATCATGAACAATAGACAAAAAGCACAAATTGCAGAATGGCTAGAAGTAATTGACAATGAAAGCGTATCTTCTGGCGACTCTTCGGTTTCTGATGAAGAAGTGCACATTCTTCCACAAGAGAACAAGTTTCTCAGACCAGTGATTAGCCATCTAACTCAGAAACATCACAGCGGAGATTTTTAGGTCGCTACTTTGACTGCGAAAGAAAGCTAACTCAAAGTACTGGAAATACTTGTAATTCGTGCAGCAAATTTATTTGTCCTTATCATTCCATTATGGCCTGTATCTCCTGTTCAAAATATAATTAATAAATAAGTGCAATTAGTACTAAATATTTTTAAACTGCCAAAGTTGACATTTTCATGACGAAAAATGATGATTTTTATGTTTTGGTTAATTTATAAAAACTGAGAAGAACTGCTGGTTTGTTTGTTTGATTATTTCATTAACTAATACATAACAATAAATATAAAAAATAAAGAAACATGTTTTTATAAAGAGATGTCTTCTTTTTTTACTCCATAAAATGGCTTACGCATGTAATCCGCGCGACCATTAACGTAATATTTTAGAGCGCGACCACCGTAGGGTTAAGTGCTTCGTAAACGCATTCAGTTAAGTAATTAGGAAAAGTGATTTTTGTTTTTATTTTTTTTCTCATATATCGATACCTCTGGGCTCAAAGGTCGNATACCGCGCAAGCACTCTCAAATTTAACAGCTGCTTAAGACGATTTGACAGTTGTTTGAGTAATCAAATCAAATCAAATCAAATCAAAAAATATTTATTCAGTTTAGACCACAAGTGGCACTTATGAACGTCAATAGAAAATAATAAAAAAAGAAAAAGGTAGCCCTTATGGGGCACTTTACATGTCTCCTTATCTTTTATGCTTAGCGTTGAATGGCGTTTCAGTATGCGAAAATTCATTTAAGTGGCGTTTGAGTGCAACTTAATTTGAGAGGTGCTTAAAAATTGAGAACTGCTCAGATATTGTTTTGAGTATGCGAAATGTAAGTTTAGGAGCTGCTTAACTATTTGAGAAGCCGTCAAATATTTAAATGGCGTTTCAGTATTCGGCCGTTAGTCATTTAGATCGCCCACAGAGACATTTTTTATTAGGTACTAAAACATTTTTCTTCCACTCTCAGCCAAGGAGTCCTCTCAACGAACCGCGGCAACCCGCTCCTGGTCCGCCTGGTCGAGAGCCGCCACCGCATGCTGCACTCGAACACCCGCGAATGCCTCCGCCAACTGGTCGGCCTGAACGACGCTCAGAGGACCTCGCTCAACTTCACGTCCATCAACGAGTACGAGCAACGAGCGTTGCGCCTGGTGAGTGACGTCATCAGCCTTTAGAAGCCCGCTCCTGGTCGCCTGGCAGTGACGTCATCACCGCATGCTGCACTCGAACACCCGCGAATGCCTCCGCCAACTGGTCGGCCTGAACGACGCTCAGAGGACCTCGCTCAACTTCACGTCCATCAACGAGTACGAGCAACGAGCGCTGCGCCTGGTGAGTGACGTCGTCAGCCTTTAGAAGCCCGCTCCTGGTCGCCTGGCAGTGACGTCATCACTGCACGCGGCACGCGAAAGCCGCGAGTGCCTCCGCCAAATCGTCGGCCTGAACGACGCTCAGAGGACCTCGCTCAACTTCACGCCCATCAACGAGTACGAGCAATGAGCGCTGCGCCTGGTGAGTGACGTCATCAGCCTTTAGAAGCCCGCTCCTGGTCGCCTGGCAGTGACGTCATCACTGCACGCGGCACGCGAAACCCGCGAGTGCCTCCGCTAACTGGTCGGTCTGAATGATGCTCAGAGGACCTCAATCAACTTCACGTTGATTGACGAGTACGAGCAGCAAGTGACGTCATCATCAGCCTTTAGTCCACAACTGGGCAGGCCATAGGCTATGGCCCATAGCGTTCTATGTTAAATGCGGCTTTCCGCAACCTTAATTTAGGCTCATCAGTTCACTGGTTGGGAAACTACCCAAACTGCGATTTTCAGCCCGTTTTCGCCTCTGGGGATCTGTCCTGCATATGTCGTGTAGAAATTCTCATTTTTTTAAATCAATAGACATCACCGCAATACAATGCAATTTTAAAAAACCAATGAGCTTCCTCTTCTTCATCAGACACCAGGCCTTATATGAATAAACATTACTGGGGGTGATTTTAAACATATTTTTCCCACAGATCGGAACCTACCTACGTGACATCAAGACCAACCATTGCTCGCCGCTCACCGAGATGCAGTTCGATTCCATCATGACCATTATCCTGAACATGGCGCACCCGGCTGCCTAAGGGCACGTTGTAAGTGACCCTGTCACTTACCAACACCAAGCCATCAGGCACGCTTGGGAAGTACGCTTGTATGTGGACCTCCCGCCCGAAGACCGGTCGTCGGAACGCCCAGCCGGGAGCGTTTCGATCGTGTAATAGACAATCGCAGCTGTGCAATTATTTTGTTCTTGTTCCTTTTGTAGTCAGCGCTAATAGGGCATTTCACATTCTAAATAGCAACTTCTGTGTATTTGTTTAAGAGCACTATTAATGTAAACTGTGCACTTGTTGGTTTATGACTGGATTTAGAAATCAATTTGTCTTTGGATTGCCACTAAGGGATTACACACTAATTTCTATACGAAATGTAAAAGTGTCAGATTTTTGTTGGTGTTGGTGGTGTCAGTAAGTAGAATTTGAAAGCTAAGGCTCGGCGAATGTATTCCCATTTTCATGTATACGTATCTCTCTCTCTCTCTCATGCAAACATTCCAGAAATTTTGCGTAATCAAGCCGAACGACAATATTGTTTATGATCGTATTTGAATCGCATAATTCAGTTGACACAAAATATTATCAAACTACAGAACCTTACTAAGAATGTGCGCAGTTTTGTATGGGGTAGTGTTTCATGGGGAAATATGTTCAATTTGGTCAATATCAATTAAAATTGCTCCAGTAATTAAAATGTAGTGCATATCGTATAGCAGTGTATGTTCCTTTTTGAAAAAAGGTCAACCTGTAGTGACCTCATGTCAGTGTACTAGAATATAATTTCTGGAAGTGATACATTTTTTGTCATTTTAAACATGTAATTCACAGTAGCTATGATGAGTTTCTATAGATATAAGGTGTATTATGAACTTTACAGGAAAATGTTAAGACCAGATTTTGTGGGATGTTACTCCCATAATATTTAGGTAGGTTTTGTATGAATAGCATTTGTACAAAATCGGTCTTTATTTTATAAAATTTTTACTTAACGCACTGTCTGGTTTCAATCGACAAGTTTTAAAATTTACTATTTTAAGAGTAGAGACAAAATGTTTTCTTGAAAATGTTTCACTAAGCGAGGTCCAAATTGAATCGCAATCTTATAGCGCATTGGTGCAAGAGTGTGAGGCGTACCTGGTTTTTTAAAAAGACTAGGCAATTGACTGCACGCGAATGTATCATGTTCAAATGTCCTGAAGAGCATGAGTTCAATATTTATTTTATATTTAATTATTTAATAAATTGACATGACATGAAATGTCAAGTGAACTTAAAATTTTGCGGTCATGTTTCGGCCTCGTCTGACGTAAAACATTGTCGTCACGTGATCATTGTCCACCAGAGTATTTTCTATAAATAAATTCTAGAAGGATAGTCCATTGCGGTCCATATTTTGCGGATCCTTCAAACGGGTAATTTAGATATTTATCAGGTGGTGAATTAAAAGATTGAAAGTGTGATTCTACGTTAGGGATAATGTTTATCGTAAGAAACGGGTTTGGGATTAACGAACAAAAATCGAATTGTATTAGGCATTATTTAAACCTTGACTAAAATAACATCTCAAGGTGTGACTATGAAATTATATGTCCATGTACGTCTGTACTATTTAAATGATATAAATGTATTTATAAAAGTATTGCATAGTCTTGAGAGAGACATTGTTGGACACATTTTTTTTTAGTAGAGGGGATAAAATTAATACATGTGTAATGAAATCGATGTTAGGTGATAATGACTTTATATTAATCTGAATGTCACTATATTATAGTAATCTTAATACATTACACAGGCCTTGTTTATGGAAACAGGGCGGAGCCAAAGAAGGTGGAATTAATATGGTCTGGAAGCATTACGTATACAGGTCCATAAACGGGGTCTATACATGTTAGCTGTTAATATCGATAGAGGGCCTGTACAGAGTTGCACTTGGCGTCTTGATTGTATGTACATAATCGAGAACTCGCTTGGTATTTAGGTTGGAAATGCGCTTTTCGAACGTGGAGAATTGTCCCAGGCCCTCAAGTAACCACATAATCATAATAATCTTATTTAAATATTTGATAAGTGTAGACAATACTTATGGAATCAAATCGATCTTACCGGACCCTTCTTCTATTTAAACTGAGCTCAATCTATCCTGAATAGAATTATTTTTGTCCACGGTCTCTAGTCAAGTTTCTTCCATCTAAGGCCAAAAGACTATTTATTTTTGTAATTTCCCTAAAATTTTAATGAGTAAGTAACTTATATTATTGGTGTTAGATCTAAGATCCGAAAGTTTTTAAAACCAAATGCATTTAATTCTACAAATCGATTTGTTTTACTCTGACGCTTTATGATATGTATGAAGGCGTCGATTAAATACTTTTCAGTATGGATAATTTTATTATTGTATTATATACATAATTACATACATTTATTAATATCAATATGCACATTATTGTATTTCACAAAATTACTGAAGTTTTGTTTTTTGTCACAACTTTATTATTCAATTTATTATCATATTATAGTATAATATTTATGTATTAGAAATAAGATGGAACTTAAATAAATTATATTAAAGATCTTCATTTTTTTTTAACATCCTACTTGCAAAAACTAACCAAACTATTCTAGTAATTGAAAAGTATCGCCCTTGACGCTCTGCTCAATGAAGTTCGCTAGGGGTGATAGGCCAGACGCCCTAGCGAGAGTGTGGACTGTGGATGAGTCGTCTGCAGCGGCTCATCAAATTCACTGATGAACACCATCGGACGGCGTTTATATTAACTTTTTATTTTGTTTGTTTTATGGTTTTATGATTAACCCAAGTGGAAATACCTACCTTTACTAATTTATTGAGCTGAGCGAAAGAAATAAGCACGCGGGCATTTAAGTAATCATATCACACTTATATTATTATTATATTCTATAGGCGAAAGTTTGTGAGTGTGTATATATGTTTGTTACTACTTCTTCACACATAAACAGCTGAACGGATTTTGATGAAACTACAGTGTTATTGTTTACTAGCGGCCGCCCGCGACTTCGTACCCGTGGATCCCGTTTTACCCCCTTCATCTATCTTACGCGGTTTAGATTTTTTCATACACATGTTTTTTCCCGCTAACTCCCGTTCCCGTGGGAATTTTGCAATATCCTGTTCTAACTAAACTTTAAGTTTACTAAGGTACATACCTGCATGCCAAATTTCAAGCGTCTAACTTAAGCGGTTTAGATTTTTCACACAAAAGGATTTTCCCGCTAATTCCAGGTCCCGTGGGAATTCCTAAGTATACTATAACCTGCCCAGGAGTATGAAGAATAATTGTACCAAGTTTCGTTAAAATCCGTCGAGTACTTAGTTTTTGTTTCTATCATATTTGTAACATAAATCCTGAAAGACTCGTTTAGACTAGTTAGTTAGTTTTAGTTAGTTTTGCAGGGCAATCGAATACCGCACTTAGCCTCATGATAGGGCCATTGTGCGCGATTTGTGGTTTATCTTCCTACTCCAACCACCCCAGATCCCCCCAGAAGGCGAGCAGCCCGTCCAGGCTGCTGCAGGCTTCCTGTAGCGACGACGGTGATCGAAGAAATTGAGCCCGTTGTTCTTCCACGCTACTGCACTCCATGAGCACATGCTGCAGTGTTTCCTCTGCCTCCATGCACCCCCTGCATAGTGGGCTGTCTGTGACACCTATGTTGTATAGGTGCTTGTTTAGCATACAGTGTCCGGTTATGGGACTTAAGACCTTGCGGATGCTGTCCCTGTTTAGTCTGATGAGGCTGCGGGAGAACTTTTTCGATACGTCCGGAACCGCATCGTTTGCCTGCATCCTTCGCTATTTTTCCATTCTGTGTGGTGTTTTTCTTCTGTTTTGGAACGCAGCCAGTTCCTGATCTGTGCTTGTGGTATCGGCAGTATTGGTTCCGGGCCAAATACTGTTGTGTCCGAACCTCTTTTTGCCAGTTCATCCGCTGCGTCGTTGCCTAAAGAGTTACTGTGCCCTTTGATCCATTGCAGGGTAACTCCATTTACAGCTGCAATGTCTTGGAGCGCTTCATGGCATTCCAAAATAAGGGCCGTTGTTTTGTGTTGCTTTTTAGCGCTTGCAGTACGGATGCACTATGCGAGATAATTCTTATGTTTAGACCTCGGATGTCTCTGGCTGTTACCGCCTGTGCTACTTTGGTAATTCCAATGCATTCTGCTTGGAAAATTGTATTGTGTTTATCTAATGTTGTTGATATTCTTATATTAAGATCATTCGAGAAGACACCAGCTCCTGTACCCGTTTGAGTTTTGGAGCCGTCCGTGTATATCCTAACTTCATTGATTCCAGAGTATCTCGCGTCTCCGCTATAAGTTGGATATTATATCTTCGGTCGAAAATGTGTTCACAGGGTATCCTGTCGATGGGTGCCTCAGTGAGAGGTATTTCTTTTATGGTTTTCTGCAGGATCGCAGAGTGTCCTGTCTCCTTGTTTTGCTTCCATAGGCCGTTTCCATAGCTGGGCACCGTTAATCAAATAGTTAACTTCGTTAATCGTTAAACCGTTAATAAAAAAATTAACTTCGTTAAACGTTAAAACGTTACATTTCGGAAGATTTAACGCAAGTTAACGTTAATCGTTAATCCGTCAACACGTAATAATAAAACGAAAAAAATAATTGTATGCAAGGTTCAAATAATTTTGAAAGCTTGTATCGCGCATGGAATTTATTCCTCTTTTATGTTTTCGCTACAAGCTTTCGAAATTATTTGAACCTTGCATAAGTACAATAATTATTTTTTTCGATTTAGTACAACTGCCTTTCAGAATAAAAACTTGTTTTTAAAAAAAAAATATCTTTTTTTTAATTATAATTTTATTATACACTTTTTAGTTGTATCTCAACTCAATCTCAGAGCCTTGGTACAATTACTATATAATTTAGCACCAAAGTGCACGAAAAGGCAAATCCAACAAACCCAAACTCGATAAGTTTCCACCGTTTCGTTTAGGAATTCCTATGGCCACCTCCTGACTCCATCATCTGGAACGTGGACATCATCTAGTACTAAAGTGCTCGAAAAGACAAATCCAACGAACCCAAATTCGATGCGATTCCGCCGTTTCATTTAGGAGTTTCTATGGCCACCTCCTGACTCCATCATCAGACCATAACATTGCATTGTCATCGTACTTATACAGGGTGACAGGTAAAGCGATACATTCCTTGATAGGGGTGAAAGTAGAGCTTATTTGCAGTCCATGTCCGAAACTTGTTCATTTGCAAGTTATTCAATATTTAAGTATTTTTTAAAAAATCTCCAGTTTTTATCTTAAATTAAAATGTACCCTTGTAATGAATAATAAGGAATAATGTAAATTTTTTTGTTGTATTCATATAGCTAAATAATAGGATTAACATTTTAAATTAAAATTTGCAAGAAAGAATCGTCATTACTCCAGTTAAAGCTAAAAAACCAATTATCATTTGCAAAAAATATATGTTTTAGGTAAATAAACGAAGAATTTCCAAGAAAGAATGTATGGAATGTTGTGTACAAATTACAGAATTTAGTTCCTTGATTCATTAGCTATTCAAAAAGGTAAAGGTGTTTAACAAACACTACATCATTATTTTTTTATTTGAATTTAAACGTCTAGGAGATACTTTCATAAAAAAATTAATAAATAAAAAAGTCACACTAACAACTATTCTTGGGTCTCAATAAATGAAAAACTTAGTATTTTAATAATAATTAAACTGTATTACCTAATTTTATCTAGGTACATTATTTTAAGTCCTGCTCAAACTGTGAGCCCCGTCTTCTAATACAAGCTCGTAGTCTGTTTCTCACTTCTGTTTTTGTGACTTTTGTTGTCAAACTTTGCTGAATATCTTGAGCTGCCCTCTGAACGCGCTCACGAAGCTTTTACACACACAGCACACTTTCGGCTCAGTGTACGCCAATGGATGGATCAACAATATCCACTTCGTTGGATTGGGCGCGGTGGACCCATTCCTTGGCCAGCCAGAAGTCCGGATCTGACCCCTTGCGATTTTTATTTATGGGGTAACATGAATTATCTCTTGTATGTAACCCCCGTAAACAACGAGCAAGAGCTTCGTGAGCGCCTGCGTGCCTGCTGTATCTTTTTGGTAAATAGTAGGTAGGTACTGGATTAACGATTAACGGACTTAGGATAATTTAACGGAAGTTAACGAGTCCGTTAACATTTTTTAAAGTTAACTTAAAAGTTAATCCGTTAATAGAAATGTTAACTTCGTTAATTAACGGATTAACGAGTTAATGCCCAGCTATGGCCGTTTCCTTTNCCCTTTTGATAGGATTTTCTTAATCCTAGCAGCCTGGCTTGTTGAGTTTATGCTACTACAGAAATTGCGCCAGTGTTCTCTACTACGGAATCTGATCCGCTTCTTGTAGTGCTTCTGTGCTTCTTTGTATTTGTTCCAGTCTTCATTGGTTCTGGTGTTTTTCGCTCGGTTGAAAAGTGTCCTGAGTTTTTTCCGAAGGCGTTCAAGTTCCGGCCCCCTCGACGCTTTGAATGTCTATTTCTTGTGCACCAAATCCTGAATCGCTTTAAGTTACTACTTAACACCCTGTATACAATGTATACCTACTAGGTACCTACTACCTACGTGAAAAGCTGCGGAATTAGGGATATTTTTACACATTTTGTTACAAGGATTAAGGAGTTAAAATGATATTATCATAATGATCTGATAGAAGGCTGAAAAACGTAAGATTCTATTCTAAAAACGGCAGACAAATACTTAATGACGTCACTTTCGTCTGCCCTCCTTTCTATAGGAGGATCGTAGCTCGGATTGTGTGTGCTCGCTTTGCATGCGAGAGGTACCAGGTTCGAATCCCGCTCGAAACATTGGTAGGTTAAATAAGCTTAGAATTTTTTTCTTGATGTATTTTTAACATTTTTAAGTTTTTTACTTTGAGTAAGTAGGTAATTTATTTATTACAATTTTTTTCTTTTTTATCGTGTTGATATCCAAAGGACATTTTTTTATTTATCCAAGTTTTTATTGTGACACAGAAAAACATTTTCTCTAAGTAGATTGATCATTTAGAAAAATATTCACTTTTCACGAAGTTTATTAGAGTTGTTTTGGGGATTGTTTCTAGAACTTTTATTTAACATAACTTTTCCATTAACTTTGCAAAGTCAATCATAAAAAATATGTGAAAAAAAATAGGTGTAAAATTACTCTGTTCGCAATATAAGGTAAGTGCCCCCTACTTCG